TCTGGGGTACTCTCTCTCTCCTACATTTTGCCTGAACACCACTAGGACCTGGTTGTGGTTCAGTGCTTGTTTGTCTCACTACAAATTTGTCAAGATACATTTGTTTTTCCCTTCATTTTAACATTTGTCTGTAATGATGCATCACAGTGTCATTGAATAGGTTAAGTCAACGACCTACTGCAGCTTGATTTGGGTGAGTCGTTTCAGCAAAGGTTTGCAATTCTTGCCATGCTGCACACATTTTCTTAATTGTTGAGGAAGAGACATTCTGTACTCTTGTTTCTGCACTATTGTCATCCTTACATGGGTTTTCATATGTTGAGCCTTACCACTGACTTTCCTGGGACTCATGGCGTGATATATAATAATTACTTTAATGTTCAAAATGCAAAAAATCACCACAAAAGTGGAATTTCTTGTAGGCGCAATCGTCACTAAGCAGGCAGCTGTAGTAAACTGAGGCAGGTTGGCCGCGTGACTGGGAAGCACGCGCTCGGTCGACCCGAACATGTACCAACAGATATTGGAAGTCGACCACACCATCGGATGTAGAGTCGCATTTTTCGATGAAATTTACATCGTAACTCGAAATTATCGTAAGTAGGGGCAATCGTATGTCGAGGTGCCACTGTACTATTCCATTTAGCATAGAATGGAATAGACCAGTAGGAGAAAATTCTGTTAAAGTGCCAGATTTTCGAAAAGCTGATTTTAATAGCCTAAGAAATTTTTTGGGTCAAATTGATTGGAAAGGCTTGGGTATGGGGTGTGGGCCGGTCTTGGAGCGAGACATGAACCCAGCGATAGGTGACTTAAATGGGGATTTCGATGTGGATTCAATATATAACTTATTTAAGAATATTCTAAACAAAGCACAGGAACGTAGTATACCATACAAATTGAATAGATCGTATACTAATGACCCAAAGTGGATAACAAAGAATTTGAAGAACCTTATAGGTAAAAAGAGAGCTTGGTACAAAAGGATTAAAAATGGGGAGGTCACTTTAGAACAGGAATTCGTACAACTGGTTAGAAATGTTAAAAAAGAGATAAGGAAAGCAAAAAGAAACTATGAAGTTCGCATAGCAGGGCAAGCAAAGACAAATCCTAAAGGGTTTTTTCAGTTATATCGTACTAAGACTAGGGAAAGGATAGGTCCATTAAAAACTGAGACAGGTCAAATAACAGATAGTGATGAAGAGATGAGTAGTATTTTTAATAAATATTTTGTATCTGTATTTACTAAAGAGGAACTTAACAATATGCCTTCAGCCGAACAAGTCTATGTGGGTGGGGACGAGGACAGGTTGACGAGTTTAGCAGTTACCAGGGAGGATGTTCTTAAACAAATAGTAAAACTCAAACCAAACAAATCCCCAGGGCCGGATGAAGTGTTTGCTAGGGTGCTTAAAGAATGCAAAGAGGAGCTTTGTGACCCACTGTCAACCATATTTAATAAATCAATAGTCAGGCAGAGTGCCAGAGTTTTGGAAAGTTGCTAATGTGATACCAGTTTTTAAGAAAGGAGATAGATCACTTGCGTCTAACTATCGACCAATTAGCCTAACGTCTATTGTGGGAAAGTTACTCGAATCTATAATAGCAAATAAAATTCGTCTTCATCTTGAAAAACATAAATTAATAATTGAGTCGCAACATGGTTTTATAAATGGCCGTTCATGTTTAACAAATTTGTTATCTTTTTATTCTAGCATTGTTGAGGCAGTTGATAGTGGTAAGGATTGCGATGTTGTATACCTTGACTTTAGCAAAGCTTTTGATACAGTGCCACATGAAAGACTGATTAAAAAAATAGAGTCTCATGGTATTGGGGGTGCTATATTAAGCTGGATTAGGGCATGGCTATACCAAAGGAAACAGAGAGTTAGTATAAATGGAATCAAGTCAGAGTGGGAAAATGTTGTAAGTGGAGTGCCTCAAGGCTCTGTCCTGGGACCTCTGTTGTTTATAATATATATAAATGATTTAGATTCAGGTTTGAGTAGCAACATTTGCAAATTTGCCGATGATACGAAAATCGGTAGGGAAATTAATTCGGAGGAGGACTCACTATCACTTCAAGTTGATCTAGATAGGGTTTTGAAATGGTCAAAGGATTGGCAGATGCAGTTTAATGCTGATAAATGTAAAGTTCTGAGGTTAGGTAATGATGATAGAGTTACAAGATACGAGCTAGATGGTGTTGTGATTGCGAAGTCGGATTGCGAAAGGGATCTGGGAGTTATGATTAGTAAGAATTTAAAACAAAAGGATCAATGCATAAATGTTCGTAATAAGGCAAATCGGACACTTGGATTTATTAATCGCAGCGTTAGTAACAAGACACCTGGTGTGGTTCTCAAGCTATATCTTGCTCTAGTTAGGCCCCATTTAGATTATGCAGTTCAGTTTTGGTCGCCATATTATAGAATGGATATAAATTCACTTGAACGTGTCCAGCGTAGGATGACTAAGTTAATTCCCCAAATTAGAAATCTTTCATATGAAGAAAGATTAACAAAGCTTAAGTTGCATTCACTGGAAAGGCGAAGAGTTAGGGGTGACATGATAGAGGTTTACAAGTGGATGAATGGACATAACCGGGGGGATATTAATAGGGTATTAAAAGTATCAACACAGGACAGAACACGAAACAATGGATATAAATTGGATAAGTTTAGATTTAGGAAAGACTTGGGTAAATACTGGTTCAGTAACAGGGTTGTTGATTTGTGGAACCAATTGCCGCGTAACATTGTGGAGGTGGGGTCCCTCGATTGTTTCAAGCACGGGTTGGACAAGTATATGAGTGGGATTGGGTGGTTATAGAATAGGAGCTGCCTCGTATGGGCCAATAGGCCTTCTGCAGTTACCTTTGTTCTTATGTTCTTATGTTCTTACTATGAACATACTGTACATTTATGTACTGTATTTAAAAATACATTGATCTACCGCCATGCCAACGTCAGTGGCGCCGTATTTGTAAAGTTCTTACCACTAAAGTATCTAATTCTGTAAATAGTACAGTTTTGTAACTTTGTGGATTGTGTTCACTATTTCCACTTACAGATAATTCCCAACAAGATTATCCTACGGGAGAAACTCAACATGTACTCACTGCCGGCCATGCCTGGCCCACCGCCACGTTTTATATAATTTTCAAATTTGTTAGTCTATTAATTCACATGACATGGCAACAAGTATGTATATCCGATACATAAGGTTCAGCCCCAATCATATAAGTATAAACCTAAAATCTATGTATATAGAACTATACAACTATCTATATCTATAAGAGTGTGTGTTTGTGTCCAAGGCTGGAGGCCAGACACTTGGGGCTAGCCTCACCCAACATTGCGGGGAAAAATGGCTTGGGTGCGGGACAGACATAGGCTGGTCGGGGTCAGCTTAAGTTAAATGCTTTAAGAAATATTAACATTTATAGACACCCTCTTTTTCCCTGGCCCCCAGGAGATTTTCATGCAGTCAAGTGTAATCTTTGCTTACCCATTTCTTGATGTTTAGAGTATACTTTAGTCATGGGGCTACGTTAAGGACTAAAGTATACCTGTATTTACCTGACCACCACCATCTCTAATGGATAGATGGTGAAATGCTAAAAAAAACTGTTAATGGTTTGTAAAACAAAAATTTGAATATGCAGCAGTTGTATGGTGCCCATATCTCGAGAAGAACATAAATAAACTGGAAAAGATCCAGCAGCATCCTACAAAATGGCTTTCAGAACTGAAAAACAAGAGTTAAGAGAGACCAGAGGCGTTAAACATGCCAAAACTAGAAAATGTTAGAGGTGATATGATCACCACTTACAAAGACTTTACAGTCTCCGTGGTGTAGTGGTAAGACACTCGCCTGGCGTTCCGCGAGCGCTATGTCATGGGTTCGTATCCTGGCCGGGGAGGATTTACTGGGCGCAATTCCTTAACTGTAGCCTCTGTTTAACGCAACAGTAAAATGTGTACTTGGATGAAAAAACGATTCTTCGCGGCAGGGGATCGTATTCCAGGGACCTGCCCGAAACGCTACGCGTACTAGTGGCTGTACATGAATGTAACAACTCTTGTATATATCTCAAAAAAAAAAAAAAAAAAAAAAAACACTAACAGGAATCAATCAAATTGGCAAAGAGAAATTCCTGAAACCAGCAACTTCATAAACAAGAGGACACAGATTCAAGCTAACTAAACACAGGTGCCAAAAAAATATTAGAAAGTTTTCTTTTGCAAACAGAGTGGTAGATGGTTGGAACAAGTTAAGTGAGAATGTGGTGGAGGCCAAAACCGTCAGTATTTTCAAAGCATTATATGACAGAGTATTGGGAAGACAGGACACCACGAGTGTAACTCTCATTTTACTCTATATATATAAAACTCTGAACTGTAATGTCAATCATGAGCTTAAATGCTTCCTTAGAAGGTTGTAACAGAACCCATGGGCACCACACCAGAAAGAAATACTATTTGATATTTCAAGAGTGCACCTTAACCAAACTAGAAGTCTTCTACAAATCAAATGATCCAGAATGTGGAATGACCTCCCCAATCAAGTCAAAGGCTGTACCTCTTTCAACCAGTTTTAAGAGAAAAACTAAATACTACCTAATTAACTCCATGTAATCTACCTTACCCCCTAAATGTCAACCCATGTCTTGCTATTTTCAAACAATGCTGCTTGTTGACTAACTTGTTTAACTGCTGAATTCTGCCATGCCCTGTCCCCCTTTCAACACAATTTATACTTTAATTTCAATTAGTATTAAGTTTTAGTCTGTGTTTTTTCCCACACCTTGCCTGAAATGCGTATTAGTGGCTTTAGGTATTGTATGTACTAGCTCTATCTATAAATGCAACATTATGTTTGTAACTCATCTTCTATGTATGTTACAAACTTTTACCTGAATAAACATTTGAATTTGAAAAGAGACAGTGGTACCTGTCTTGGATGAATCATCATTGACCATCGACTTTTGTTTTCAGGCTGCACCAGGGGTGTATTGGGAGCAGAGGGAGGATGATGTGAGATGATTGTGATCAGTCAAGTGTGAGAGATGGAGAACAAGGAGCAGGGGCTGACCATGCCCTTAGTGCTGGGCTCCAGCCTGCCTCCCGTGGCAGAGTCCAGCCCGAGACCCAATGCTGACCTGTGGAATGAAGCCTCCGCTTGTCCCTCTGCAAGGTAATTTATGCATAAAAATCACAAAATAAATATAAGATATCATAAGCTTCCATAATGGTTTACCTGGAAAATATCACAAGAACATTAAAAAATGATGTAAGTTAGACAAATTGCTTTGGTGAGAAAGGGACCATGGTGGAAGGCAGGAAGTAGAGGGCGCAGGTATGACAACTTTGTTCCTATCTATACGGAAATTACCAACTACCACAAAGACCATGTACTGCTTATAGTAAGGGAACAAGAAGCAGCCAGAATAACACAAGTACAACCAGTTAGAAAGTTACAAAAATCGCCCAGTGCTAACATAATATCCCAGTTATGTATTTCGCTGCTCCACCCTCAGATGTATGATCTGATAAGCCACCCCAACTTCCTGGTGAAGGGAGTGTCAGGGACCCACCAGAGTTTGCCCAAAAATTGGCGTTTCATTACATCTTCAACAAGTCACTTGAACTCCAAACCTTTCCAGATATTCTAAAAAAAAAGTGAGAGTAACCCCTGTCCACAAATGTGGTGATCTCACTGAGGTCAACAACTTCAGACCTATATCAATTCTGCCAAACTTGTAAAAAATATTTGAAAATCTAATCTACAAGCAGCTTTACTCTTTTCTAGCCAAACTCAATATCCTTAGCTCTTGTCAATATGGTTTCAGACCCCAAAAAAGCACTAACGATGCACTTATTAGTATGATTAACTTGATACATGCAGCTCTTAATAAAAATGAGTTCCCTGTTGGGTTATTTGTGGACCTGCATAAGGCTTTTGACACTGTTAATCACCAAAACCTTCTTCTTAAATTACAGCATTATGGAGTCAACGGTATGTTTCTATGAATAATTCAATTTCTCCCACCCTACCCATCAACATTGGTGTTCCTCAGGGCAGCATATTTGGCCCTCTTCTCTTTCTCATCTACATTAATGACCTTCCAAATGCCTCCCAACACCTCAAACCAATTCTATTTGCTCACGACACAACCTTCATTTACTCCAGGCCTGACCCCTTGCTCTAAATGTCAGTGAATACTGAGCTAAATAAAGTTCATCTATGGGTAACTGGCAACAGTCGTCCTCAACATTGACAAAACTTTCTATATTTTGTTTGGCAATAAATCCTCAAATCAAATAAATCTCAGGATAAACAATATCCAAATTTGTAACAAAGTAGATGGCGAATTCTTTGACATTCTTATTGACCACAAGCTGAATTTCCAGGGACACATTCTAAATATATAAAAAAGTTTCAAAAACTGTTGGCATTCTTTCTAAGATCAGATATTATGTACCTCGCCCTGCCCTGGTGACACGATATTACTCTCTCATCTATCCTTATCTCAACTATGGTATTTGTGCTTGGGGTTCTACTACCCAAAATCACTTATGTCCTCTAATTACTCAACACAAAGCTGCTATTAGGACAATATCTAACTCTGGTCCCAGACAGCACTCGGTACCCCTACTCAAATCTCTGAATATGTTAGATATTAAGTCACTGCACATCCTCTCATGTGTATTTTATATATATATATAAAATGCCGAACTGTAATGTCAATCCTGACCTTAAAAGCTTCCTAGAAGGTTGTAACAGATCCCATGAACACCACACCAGAAACAAATACCTATTTGATATTCCAAGAGTATGACTTAATCAAACTAGAAATGCTTTACAAATCAAGGGACCCAGAATGTGGAATGACCTTCCCAATTATGTTAGACTGTACCTCTCCCAACCAGTTAAGATAAAAACTAAGTACTACCCAATTAACTCCATGTATCCTACCTCACCCCTAAAATGTCAACCCATGTCTACTATTTTAAACAATGCTGTTTGTTGACGAAATTGTATATTTGCTATTTTTTCTGCCATATTCCCCCTTTTTTTATTTTTTTATTTTCTCAACACAATTTATACTTTAACCCTTAACATGCTCGGGGTCTAATATCCTGCTATCCACACAGGCGCATGTCATTTTGAAAAAAAAAAAATTTTTTTTTTTTTGCTAATCTGTTAAGTTCTGTTCACCGATCACGGGAAAAATAAAAAAAAAATTCTATTGTACTTACTTTTGTTGCAATAGAGCCGAGAAGCTCTGCGATGACGTCACAATCTGCATGGTCGCTCATGCAGTACACGCCCGGGAGATGTTGCGCGCGGTCCTCAAACAGCCAGAGTTGCCACAAATATATTTTCGCGCTATTTATTTACAATGTCTAAGCGCATCTTATCTAATTTTTGTTCACTAATTGTGTTTCAAATACTGTTTGAACATATTTTGTATCAATAATTGTTGCATATTTGAGTATACACAGGCGCACACAAATGTTTTCAATTACGGCAATATAATATGTCATTACAGTCTATTATATTATATGTTCTGCTTATATGTTTACATATTTACACACTCGCACACGCTATACACACTTTGAAGCACACTTAGAAGATTTCTAGACTGTGGTAGTCATTGAAGCAGTAGACAGCACATAATGGGATACCACACGTTTCACACCATGTTTGCACAAGCTTCCGTTTCTTGTCTCTACGTGTCGTTGTTTTACACACCAAGCAATCACGTTGGGCTATTGCACGCTTCACACCAGGTGGCAAATACTTAAGTTTGTGTGCTAGGAAGCCTTCAGTGTGAGCGAGGCGTGGAGTACCAGCATGCTGCAACAGTGGGTTTATGATGGGCCGCTGAATACCTGGGACATCTTTTGCAAACTTTCCTAATAACTGTATTGCAGCATCAAATACAAAGTCACGGAAAGTGGGCTTACGTCCAGTTCTCACATGGTACATGTTGAAACAGTTCAGCATGCTCATGTCCACAAGATGGAAGAACACTTTTTTCGTCCACCTACATGTCTTCCGCACACACTCTGCAGTGCCAATCATCATGTCTGATTTATCAATCAACCGCATGTTGATATTATAGTCTAAAACACAGTCTGGCTTATATAGTGGTGCGTTTGTTTTATGGCTCACTTTCCCACTGTTCACCATTGTTCCATCATGAATTGTTGTCAACAAGTTCACCTCTCTTTTGTCTTTCCACCGAACTGACAGAATGTTATCACTTTTCCTTCTCTGACACTCACCAACTGCAATGTCGTTGTCAAACACAGGCATTTCCCTTCGTTGTGGCTTTACTGTACCAACCAATCCGGTTCTATTTTCTAGCAAGAACCGAGCTAGCAAGGGACTTGTATAGTAATTATCTGTGTATAAAATGTGTCCCTTGTTCATCCACGGAGCCATGATGGTCTTCACTACACTCCCCGAGAATCCATGTTCGTCGTTACCGGGAATGTCTACATCACTAGCCGAGTACAGAATCATGTGTAACACGTATCCTGTCTCACAATCACAAAGAACAAAAAATTTCAGGCCAAATCGGTTTCGTTTTGAGGGAATGTACTGTTTGAATGGAACACGTCCCTTGAAAAGTATGAGAGATTCATCAACCACCAGCTTCTGTGCTGGTACATAAAAATCTCTGAATTTTCCAATAACATCGTTCATGTAGTGCCTCACTCGCCACAGTCTATCATCAGGTGTTCGGTCCTGAACACTTCCAAAATGTAGACACCTGAGGAGTATCTGAAACCTGTCTCGTGACATATATTTCCCGAATAAAGGTGTTGGTATTGTCTTGTCCTTGCTCCAATAGTCATTTATTGCATGTTTGTGACAGTGCTTCATCAACAGAGTGCCAAAAACACATACATTTCCGCCACTGTGGTATTTTTCCAACGCTGCAGTCGTGAAAATTCTGTGATTTCCCTCTCAATCAGGTAAGCAGCATGCAGGTTCGTTTGGTGTATAATGTATTCTATGAGTGGTTCATCATAGAATGCTGTAAAATATTCCATCTCAGCCATGTCCTCACCTTGATTAGGGAAAAGGTTTGTAATCCCTACATCTTTATCGTCAAAGTGAGGAATATTAGGAATAAAATCGTCACCATCACTCCACTCAAGTACACCAGGCGTCCTGCGAGATGCAGAGGAAAGATGGCGAGGAAGCGATGCATACCGGCGACCAGGAGCTGAATACCGTCTGCGAGAAGCACGGCGGCTACGTGCACGTGAGGTGGGTGCACGTGAACACGAGGGTCTTGGTGCCATGCGGTGGCGCTTGGCTGGGCGAGATGCTGCTGACGCGACAATTTCTCGCCCAGTTACACCACTGGTACCAGCCACAGGCTCAATAAAACTTTGATCTGAGTCACTAAACCCAGAAAAGGAGTCACCTCCCTCTGACTCGTCAACCTCAAACAGAAAATATCCACAGGAACTGTGAGGTTGTGGTAGAATTGGGGTAGAAAATGGGCGAGGAGGCATGGGAGAGCGTATAGGCCTCGCCATGGCATGGCGGTCATTCTCACTTTCACTGCTGCTGCTACTATCTCCCGACAACTGTGTATAATCCTCATCGTTGTCTGAATCGTCAAACACACTTTCTTCACCTTCAGAGAATAATTCGTGGGCTATTTGCTCTGGGGTGAGGGACTGAGTGATGCGTGCTCGTGAGGCGTTTGACCGTGCGCTCGCCATGGTGACTCTCGCTAAACTGAGGCCTCCCATGCCATCGGAGCGTGAGCTGGATTTTTTTTCAAAATGGCCGCTGTTTACTAGAGCCCCTGGGCAGCGTATGGGACCCCCAGCTACACCGCGGGCCATTCAAATCGTGCGCGGTACCCATACACTTCATATGAAGTGAAGCGCAGTTGACTGGTAAAACGATTTACACTTCATATGAAGTGATGCGCACTTTAAGGGTTAATCTCAATTAGTATTAAGTTTTAGTCTTGGTGTTTTTCCTGCCCGAAACGCTTTGTGTAATAGTGGCTTTAGGCATTGTATGTACTAACTCTATCTATAAATCCATCAATGTTTTGTATGTATGATGCACCTTGTATGTATGTACTTTACTGTATGTATTGTACTTGTATGTATGTACTGTACAATACACCTTGTATGTATGTAATTTACTTGAATTAATATTTCATTTGATTTTGATTTGATTTGACATTCAATGTTGGTTTTTTGGGCCAGAATTTTTTTGTAAACGATGCTGGCATTCCTCACTGTAGTATACTTAGTCTTCTTCTCTCTCTCATTTACATCGATGCTCTTCCAAATGCCACTCAACACCTGAAGTCAATTCTATTTGCTGATGATACACTATCATTTTCTCCAATCCTAACCCTCTTATTCTAAATAGTAGGCATTCATCAGTTGTAGGAAACTATGGAGTTGCGTTCTGGTTGTCGGTATGGAGTATCCTCTCCAGGGTGCAAAGCCAGGGTAGGTTGATATGGAGGAGAAACTGTCACCCAAGCAGCAGGTCCCCTCCTCACTATGATGCCTAAAGTCTCCAATGGAAAGGCAAACGCCATTATGATTGGTTCCAGTGCTGTCGCAGGGACTGTCAGAACGAGGTTGAAGGCAACAACGAACTGTCCTAAGGGCTCCAATTCCAGAGTTAAATCCACAATGAACATCATTGATTATGAGTTATACAAAAGGACACCAATCTCGGCCACTCAGAAAATCAGAGCAGCCAAAAGAAACTACGAAAGAAAACTTGCCCAAAACATAAAGAATGATCCAAAATCATTCTATGCCTATACTAGAGGTAAAACCAAAACAAAGGAATCAGATGGACCCTTAATATGAAACTAACCAAGCTATAATGGATGATGAAAGGGCAGCAAACACTCTAAATGATTATTTTACATCAGTGTTCACACTCGAAAGATTGGATGACATTCCATCACCCACACAAATGTTTGAAGGATGGGTGGAGAATGAATTTAGGGATATACCCAATACATGCAAAATAATTAGAAAAAACATTGGTAAACTAAGACTCAAAAGCCCCAGATGTGGATGGAATCCAATCTAAAGTCTTAAAGGAACTGGAATAAGAACTATGCCTCCCGCTGAAACTCCTTTTCACAAAATCTCTGGACCAAGATGTAGTCCCGCTAGATTAGAAATATGCAAATGTTACCCCTATTTTCTAAAAAGATAGGAAGAGCTCGGCAGAAAACTACTGTACTGGAAGATCAGCTTAATATCGCACATCTGCAAGCTCATGGAGAAAATCCTCAGGGAGAGAATCATTTACCAGCTTTCAGTGAACAACCTTGTACAATCGACACAACATGGGTTTGTTAAAAACAGATCTTGCCTTACAAACTTGCTCGCATTTTTGGAAATGGTAACCAGTTACCCAGACAAAGGCTTTTCGATGGATGTAGTGTACATGGATTTTGCTAAAGTTTTCTATAAGGCACCACATAAAAGACTGGTAAGGATATTACAGGCCCATGAAATAAATGGTAAAAATATTTGAATGGATAAAACAATGGTTGAAGGAAAGAAAACGAAGGGTCGAGAAATAACAAATAGAAAAGAATCTGAATTGAGAAATGTGATAAGTGGGGTGCCACAAGGGTCCATTTTGGGACCTACCCTTTTTGTCATATACATCAATAACATAGATTTATGGTAAAGTGGGAAATGATGATGATATTGAAGCCTTACAAAGAGCTCTACATGAACTCCACAAGTGGTCAGAAGACTGGCAAATGTTTTTTTAATATCAACACATGCAAGACCCTACATGGGAGAAATAACAACCCATGCCATGACTTTCAAGTTAATAGCATTACATTACAGAAGATTGATGAAGGAAAGGACCTTGGAGTCAAAATCCACCACTCATTAAAAGTTGCACAGCAGATGGGTTTCTGAGTCAACACTCAGAAAAGCTAACCAAACTCTTGGCATAATCAAGTGTACTTTTGACTTTAAGGAAAAGAAGGTAATGGTTCAACTGTACAAATCTCTGGTGCGCCCCCATTTGGATTACTGTATCCAAGCATGGAGACCTCATTTTCATAAGGACATAGCTGCTCTGGAGAAGGTGCAACACCTGACAATAAAAGTCATTCTAAAGCTAAGTCACCTCTCGTATCAGGAAAGGTTAAGGGCCACAGGGCTAATAGCACTGCAAACCAGACATGACAGGGCAGATGTCATTGAAACTTTTAAAATACTGGACAAGATAGAGGATGTTGATCCGGATATTTTCTTTAGAAGGTCAGATGTAACACAAACAAGGAGCAATGGTTTCAACCTCAAACAAGCCACAATGTAGGACTGAGAACAGATGCTTTTTCACCCAGTGTTATTGCGTTTTATTGGATGTTATTTTGGCAGTTACGGCCAAAGCCATAACTGCCAAAACTGTGTTGAGTTTTAAAATGTACCTAGAAAATATCAATGCAAATGTGGGGGAAGACAAGCCACTGGCTTCCTGTCCTCGTAGAGGCCACTAGGATTAGTGGCCCTCGGTAAATTAGGCAATGCCTCGTCCTGCCCAGTGTTGCCAATTTTGAAGATTTACATCTAGATCTAGGTGATTTTGGTTATGTCTGGGTTTCAGAAAATGCTATTCAGATGTTTGATGTAAATGAAGAGGGTTTTAGTAGTATCTTTGATGTTTTTATATGATTTTACCAAATTTGTCCCAGAAGAGATATTTGCAAGTCTCTGAGTGTGCTATTGTATGTTTCTCTTTTATTTTCACTGGTCAATTTGTTTTTACTGTATGATACAGTTGACATCACTGCACACACACACAGAGAACACATGATTAGTACAAGACTAGTCAGTAGATCCAGTGACTCGGTGGCATCTGTGGCTGTGCAACAGTGATAATAGTACTTTGTTGTCATAGTTTATTGCATTGGATATTAACATTTATAGTTAATAACTCATTACAAAAATGCCAGAAGTGAAGTACTGTAGTACAGTAAATAAATCAGACAAGAGTGTCTGCAAGACTAACCTCTTATGGATTGGATATTGGTTGTTCCAGGCGTTGATACAAGAGCACTTCAACTTTTACACCTGCTAACCATAAATCATCAAAACTTGAAGGCAAAAAATTGTCAGGCACTTTTGTTGTTACTCTAAGGAACTGTGGCCATCTAGTTGATCTGTGCAAGAACAATATTGATGACAGTAAAATTGTGGGGAAACTTACTCAAATGTTATAGTGCTTGAATGAAGGTCAAGGAAAGACCCAAATCTTTGTATTAAAATGAAGTATTGGATGGAACCTACATCCTTTCTCAAGATGCTGTAAATAATGTTCCTGAACAAGATTTTATAGGAGCTTGTGTTGATATGTTTGGCAGAGCGCCTTTCATTGTGTCCATTATATTATGTCATTGTGATTATGCTTCCCAGGGACTCGCTAAGGGTTGCTGCAGTGTTAATTATTTCTCAATTGTCCTGGTTTCTGGGAACTGTGAACAGGGGTACACAGAAACATTATTCCCACTCTGAACACCACAAGGTCTGTGCTTGTATGAATAAGCAGTTCCCAGAAACCAGGACAATTGAGCAGTCATCTGAAACTGCAGCAACCATTGGCGAGTCCCTGGGGAGCATAATCATAACGACATCATATGATGAACGCCATGCGAGGTGCTCTACCAAGCATATAAACACAAGCTCCTTTATATGGCATTACAAAACATGGTTTACAGCACCTTGAGAAAGAATGTAGCTACCGAAGTGCAATTACAAGGTGAGAGCTATGCCCGTGTCATCCCATCTTCTCTTTAATCTTCATCACATAACGCTTTGAAACTACTGATGGTTGAGGTATCCATTGCCTTCTTGTGTATCTAGCTCCAAAAGCATGCCTTCCGCTCTGTTCTTAAAATAGCCTTCGTATTTCTGGTTCAAGTGAAACTCAAACTTAGAATGGGAATACAGTACTGTATAAATTAATTACTTAACATTTAAGTAAATTAATTAGCAAATAAATGTATTGTAACAAATAGAAATTAAATGTACCAACTATAATAGAACGTATGTGTAACTTAAGAGCAAATAATTGGCAACAATAACAATAGAATAAATATACTAATCCAAATCGTACCTGCTTAACTTATTATTTTTCCAGTACTTTTACTCTACTTATGAATCATGGGAAAATTGTACTTGAACTAGTATGGCATAGTAATAACAAAATTGTCTCGGTACAGGTCTGGTGGGGGAGGCAGCAGGTACAGGGAGTCAAGCGCCTACTCCAGGTCGACGATGGAAGGTGGTTCCCTCAACCTCAACACCATGGCCTTCGACCCCTTTAGCTCATACAAGGTCAATGATCTTAACAGCTATGCCATGAACGATCAACGATGGACCTTGCAGAGGTGAGTGATGAAAAAGAAATTAGTAAAAGAATGTGCAAAACTGAAGGGTTGGTGCAGGACACCTTATTTAAAATTACACTGTTCATCAACATTTAATGCTGAGAATAACTTTTAACTGTTTTATTTCATTTTCCTAATTGAAAGAATATTTTAATGGGATTACATATTTGAAGGACAGTAGAGTTCTTCATGGTGGAAAGTTTCTTGGCCTATTCCTAGACAAGAGACTCGACTTCAGCACCCACATTCAACACATACCTAAGAAAGTCTCTAAAACAGTTGGTAAAACAGTTGATATACTCTACAAAATCAGATATTATGTTCCTAACTCTGCTCTCCTCTCACTATATTATGCACTAAGCTATCCCTATCTTAATTATGGTACCTGTGCATGGGGGTCTACCACTGCAAACCACCTCAAGCCCATCATCACCCAGCAAAAATCTGCTATCAGAATAATAACAAACTCTGCTTTCAGACAACACTCGGCTCCCTTGTTTAAATCCCTTAACATGCTAAATATTAACTCCCTCCACACATTTTCTTGTCAACTGCATTTACAAAACCCTGTTCTGAAATGCAAACCATGCTCTGAAACTCTCCCTGGACAGATGTAATAGGACCCATTATCACCACACCAGAAATAAATATCTCTTTGATATCCCCAGGGTCAAACTTAATCTGTGTAAACACAGTGGAAACAAAGGGACCTAGTCTATGGAACTCACTCCCTAGCGAATTGAAAAGCTGTCAAACTTTTGCCTCATTCAAAAACAAAAACAAAAAGTACCTAATTTCATCTTCGTAGTTTCCTACACTGAGCTTTAAATTTGCTCTGTATCTAGTGTTACCCAATCTCCCAATCTTTATGTACTTAATCCAAACAACTTTATCATTGTGTTCATTGCTGTCTTCTTTTATGTGCTAGCTATATGCTGTATTGTGCCTATTAATTTTTGTTAAACTACCTTTCAAGCTGTCAGTGCAATCAATCTGAGCTACCTATGTGCGTTAATATACCTACAAATTTCTCATCTTCCATTTTTAAAAATTTTGCTAGTATTTACCTACTTAAAATTTTCTTAGATTAGGGACCTGCCCGAAATGCTGCGCATACCAGTGGCTTTACAAGAACGTAATTACTATGCTATGTATCCTCACAATCCCAATGTACCTTCTTGTATATACATATATAAATAAATAAATAAATAAATGGTGAAGGCAATGGTAATGTAACATTTCTGCCTACATACACCATGGTCACTAATTACTGTTAACCCACGGGAGTGGAAGGTAGAATCATTCACCACGGAAATACTTAGAAAACTATGATTCCTCGCACACTCACTCACTGCTTCCTCACACATTCACTCACTACCTCACTCCCTGCTTTTTCACTCACTCCCTGCTTCCTCACACACTCCCTTCCTTCTTCCTCACACTCACTCACTCACTCCCTGCATCCTCACACATTCACTGCCTGCTTCCTCACACTCACTCACTCACTCCCTGCATCCTCACACATTCACTGCTTCCTCACTCACTCCCTGCTTCCTCACACACTCACTCCCTGCTTCATCACACACTCACTCCCTGCTTTCTCACACACTCACTCACTCCCTGCTTTCTCACACACTCACTCACTCCCTGCTTTCTCACACACTCACTCACTCCCTGCTTTCTCACACACTCACTCACTCCCTGCTTTCTCACACACTCACTCACTCCCTGCTTTCTCACACACTCACTCACTCCCTGCTTCCTCACACACTCACTCACTCCCTGCTTCCTCACACACTCACTCACTCCCTGCTTCCTCACACACTCACTCACTCCCTGCTTCCTCACACACTCACTCACTCCCTGCTTCCTCACACACTCACTCACTCCCTGCTTCCTCACACACTCACTCACTCCCTGCTTCCTCACACACTCACTCACTCCCTGCTTCCTCACACACTCACTCACTCCCTGCTTCCTCACACACTCACTCACTCCCTGCTTCCTCACACACTCACTCACTCCCTGCTTCCTCACACACTCACTCACTCCCTGCTTCCTCACACACTCACTCCCTGCTTCCTCACACACTCACTCACTCCCTGCTTCCTCACACACTCACTCACTCCCTGCTTCCTCACACACTCACTCACTCCCTGCTTCCTCACACACTCACTCACTCCCTGCTTCCTCACACACTCACTCACTCCCTGCTTCCTCACACACTCACTCACTCCCTGCTTCCTCACACACTCACTCACTCCCTGCTTCCTCACACACTCACTCACTCCCTGCTTCCTCACACACTCACTCACTCCCTGCTTCCTCACACACTCACTCACTCCCTGCTTCCTCACACACTCACTCACTCCCTGCTTCCTCACACACTCACTCACTCCCTGCTTCCTCACACACTCACTCACTCCCTGCTTCCTCACACACTCACTCACTCCCTGCTTCCTCACACACTCCCTGCTCCCTCACACACTCACTCACTCCCTGCTTCCTCACACACTCACTCCCTGCTTCCTCACACACTCACTCCCAGCTCCCTCACACACACACTCACTCACTCCCTGCTTCCTCACACACTCACTCACTCCCTGCTTCCTCACACACTCACTCACTCCCTGCTTCCTCACACACTCACTCACTGCTTCCTCACACACTCACTCCCTGCTCCCTCACACACTCACTCGCTCCCTGCTTCCTCACACACTCACTCACTCCCTGCTCCCTCACACACTCACTCACTCCCTGCTCCCTCACACACTCACTCACTCCCTGCTCCCTCACACACTCACTCACTCCCTGCTTCCTCACACACTCACTCACTCCCTGCTTCCTCACACACTCACTCACTCCCTGCTTCCTCACACACTCACTCACTCCCTGCTTCCTCACACACTCACTCACTCCCTGCTTCCTCACACACTCACTCACTCCCTGCTTCCTCACACACTCACTCACTCCCTGCTTCCTCACACACTCACTCACTCCCTGCTTCCTCACACAGTCACTCACTCCCTGCTTCTTCACACTCATTCCCTGATTCCTCCCTCACTCACTCCCTACTTACTCACTCACTCCCAGCTTACTCACTCCCAGCTTACTCACTCCCAGCTTACTCACTCCCTGCTTACTCACTCCTTGCTTCCTCACTCTCACACTCACTTCTTCACTGTCTGCTTCCTCACATTTACTCACCCCTTCCTCACATATTTACACCCCTCTTCCTCACATATTTACACCCCTCTTCCTCACATATTTACACCCCTCTTCCTCACATATTTACACCCCTCTTCCTCACATATTTACACCCCTCTTCCTCACATATTTACACCCCTCTTCCTCACATATTTACATATTTACACCCTCTTCCTCACATATTTACACCCCTCTTCCTCACATATTTACACCCCTCTTCCTCACATATTTACACCCCTCTTCCTCACATATTTACACCCCTCTTCCTCACATATTTACACCCCTCTTCCTCACATATTTACACCCCTCTTCCTCACATATTTACACCCCTCTTCCTCACATATTTACACCCCTCTTCCTCACATATTTACACCCCTCTTCCTCACATATTTACACCCCTCTTCCTCACATATTTACACCCCTCTTCCTCACATATTTACACCCCTCTTCCTCACATATTTACACCCCTCTTCCTCACATATTTACACCCCTCTTCCTCACATATTTACACCCCTCTTCCTCACATATTTACACCCCTCTTCCTCACATATTTACACCCCTCTTCCTCACATATTTACACCCCTCTTCCTCACATATTTACACCCCTCTTCCTCACATATTTACACCCCTCTTCCTCACATATTTACACCCCTCTTCCTCACATATTTACACCCCTCTTCCTCACATATTTACACCCCTCTTCCTCACATATTTACACCCCTCTTCCTCACATATTTACACCCCTTCCTCACATATTTACACCCCTCTTCCTCACATATTTACACCCCTCTTCCTCACATATTTACACCCCTCACATATTTACCTCACATATTTACACCCCTCTTCCTCACATATTTACACCCCTCTTCCTCACATATTTACACCCCTCTTCCTCACATATTTACACCCCTCTTCCTCACATATTTACACCCCTCTTCCTCACATATTTACACCCCTCTTCCTCACATATTTACACCCCTCTTCCTCACATATTTACACCCCTCTTCCTCACATATTTACACCCCTCTTCCTCACATATTTACACCCCTCTTCCTCACATATTTACACCCCTCTTCCTCACATATTTACACCCCTCTTCCTCACATATTTACTCACCCCTTCCTCACATATTTACACCCCTCTTCCTCACATATTTACTCACCCCTTCCTCACATATTTACTCACCCCTTCCTCACATATTTACTCACCCCTTCCTCACATATTTACACCCCTCTTCCTCACATATTTACACCCCTCTTCCTCACATATTTACACCCCTCTTCCTCACATATTTACACCCCTCTTCCTCACATATTTACACCCCTCTTCCTCACATATTTACACCCCTCTTCCTCACATATTTACACCCCTCTTCCTCACATATTTACACCCCTCTTCCTCACATATTTACACCCCTCTTCCTCACATATTTACACCCCTCTTCCTCACATATTTACACCCCTCTTCCTCACATATTTACACCCCTCTTCCTCACATATTTACACCCCTCTTCCTCACATATTTACACCCCTCTTCCTCACATATTTACACCCCTCTTCCTCACATATTTACACCCCTCTTCCTCACATATTTACACCCCTCTTCCTCACATATTTACACCCCTCTTCCTCACATATTTACACCCCTCTTCCTCACATATTTACACCCCTCTTCCTCTCACATTTACACCCCTCTTCCTCACACATTTACACCCCTCTTCCTCACACATTTACACCCCTCTTCCTCACACATTTACACCCCTCTTCCTCACATATTTACACCCCTCTTCCTCACATATTTACACCCCTCTTCCTCACATATTTACACCCCTCTTCCTCACATATTTACACCCCTCTTCCTCACATATTTACACCCCTCTTCCTCACATATTTACACCCCTCTTCCTCACATATTTACTCCCCTCTTCCTCACATATTTACTCACCCCTTCCTCGCATATTTACACCCCTCTTCCTCACATATTTACTCACCCCTTCCTCACATATTTACTCACCCCTTCCTCACATATTTACACCCCTCTTCCTCACATATTTACTCGCCCCTTCCTCACATATTTACTCGCCCCTTCCTCACATATTTACTCGCCCCTTCCTCACATATTTACTCGCCCCTTCCTCACATATTTACTCGCCCCTTCCTCACATATTTACTCGCCCCTTCCTCACATATTTACTCGCCCCTTCCTCACATATTTACTCGCCCCTTCCTCACATATTTACTCGCCCCTTCCTCACATATTTACTCGCCCCTTCCTCACATATTTACTCGCCCCTTCCTCACATATTTACACCCCTCTTCCTCACATATTTACACCCCTCTTCCTCACATATTTACACCCCTCTTCCTCACATATTTACACCCCCTCTTCCTCGCATATTTACTCGCCCCTTCCTCACATATTTACACCCCTCTTCCTCACATATTTACACCCCTCTTCCTCACATATTTACTCGGCCCTTCCTCACATATTTACACCTCTTCCTCACATATTTACTCTCCGCTTCCAACACATTATATGGGAAAATATGAGTGAAACTATTTACATGGTATTAATTATCGGATAATAATTACATGATATTAAGTAAATATTTCTTAGTCTCTTTTGCAATTGTTGGGAGATGTTCAGCTTTTAATAACATTCGGGAGGTCATTCCACAATTTTTGACCCTTGATTTGCATTGCGTTTCTGCTTCGGTTGAGTCTCACTTGATGAATATCAAAGATATTAAAGAAGTACAGTATAACAAACTCTGTCTTCAGACAACACACAGCCCTCCTCTGTTTAAGACCCTTAACATGCTGAACATACTCTCACTCCCTTTGCCAGAATAACTTAATTCTGGAATGATTTTTGTTGCCAGGTGTTGTACTTTCTCAAGAGCAGCTATGCCCTTCTGAAGATGAAATCTCCATCCTTGGATACCATAATCCAAGCAATAACAATGCAATGCAAGCAATACACCAGAAATTTATGCAGTTAATTAACTTCGTTTTCTTAAAGTCAAATGTTTGCTTGATTATTTTCAGGTTTGGTTAGCTTTTTATTTACTGCTTCTCTACTTGTTGTGCAGCTTTTAGTGAATGATGGCTTCTGACACCAAGACCTTTTTCTTCATGTATCTGCTGCATGGTAATGTTGTTAATTTGGTAGTTGTGATATGGGTTGCTATGCCCCACATGAAAGGTCTTGCATTTTTCATTATTTAAAAACCTTTGCCAATCTTCTGACCATTTGTGAAGTTCATGTAGGTACTGTATGCAGACGACAAGTCACAATAACATGGCTGAAATATGTTGAGCAAACCACACACTAGAAAGTAAAGGGACAACTACGTTTCGGTCTGTCCTAGACCATTCTCAAGTCGATACCTACAGGAAGAGAAGCAGTCTTCATGTAGGTATCTTTGTAATGCCTCAATATCATTTTCACTTTCTATTTTACCATAAATCTAAAATGTCATTTGCATATTTGATGATGTGGTTTTTAATATTCTGCCCTAACAGGAAAAAGATTGGACTGAAGCGTCGAACTAAGAGAACATGGGAGAGAAATGACAGAATTAAACAAACTGATGACATTAACCTCTCGTTTATAAGGACACATTTCACACGCAAAGAGTGTATCAGGTAGGAATGAACCCCAAGTGAGTCTGATAGGAAGTATGTCAAGTGGTTTTGGACACCATGTGAGCATGGAAGGGTCCACCACCTTCCCTACCCTTCACCACTCACCCCCTACTTGTCCACCACCTTCTCTACCCTTCATCACTCACGCCTACTTGTCCACCACCTTCCCTACCCTTCACCACTCACCCCTACTTGTCCACCACCTTCCCTACCCTTCACCACTCACCCCTACTTGTCCACCACCTTCCCTACCCTTCACCACTCACCCCTACTTGTCCACCACCTTCCCTACCCTTCACCACCTTTCCTATCTCAATCTTCTCTTCTCTTTACCTCTTCTATACCCTTTACCTCTTCTCTACTCTTTACCTCCCTTCATCCCTGTAACCAATTTAACTAAATACTGTGTTATTCAATAAATTGCCAAAGAGAAAGTAACATTTAATGCTAGATTTCAGATTTTTTGGGGGCTCAATTCCCTGGTTCCTTCCTCTGCCCTCGCTTGATGTTTTTGTGGATGCCTCGGGTCTCAGTTGTGGCTTTGAGCTTTGTGACTAGCGCTCACCCGCTCGGCTAGGGTTATTGGCCTTCTCACCTTTGTTGTGCTCACAGTACAGAACCACAGTTTCCCTGTGGTTCATTAATTCAACTGGGGTGGGGTCTCTTCTATTCCTGTCACTTTGGAGCTGGTTTCTTAGAGTAGCTCATTGGCAGAGTTCTTGGGTTTGGCTCTCCATGCCTTTCATATTCTGGGAGTGTCCAGTGTTCCAACCAACAGTCTGTCCTGGTTCTTTCCTGTTTCCATGAAATGAATCATTGACACCGCTTCCTTCCTGTTTCCATGGAATAGGCTGTCGATGTCGCTGCCTTCTTCAGGCTTTGCCAGATTTTCAGGTGCCCGGACGTTGCCCTCTTCGCATCAGCATGGTCTCGGCATCTGCCTCTTTATGTGGTACCATTCCACAACTGCGAGGCCCTGGTAGTGGACGCCTTTCAGCTAGACTTGTCGAAATGGGGTTCTTTTACCTTTTTTCTCCTGGTCCGGCTGTTGCTCTGGGTGCTGGAGCATTTGTAGTCCTAAAGGGGAAGGGTGATTCTTCTAGCTCCTTGGTAGCTGACCCAGCCTTAGTTTCAGGCGCTGTTTGCTCGGTGTCCGAACAAAGGGTATTTTCCATGGCTCCTCTTTCAGAGGGTCGGGCTGGTGATGTACTTTATTGGTTCAAATTTCTCCTCTGCTCTTTGTGTCTGGAGTTTTTATGCATGTCTATCACCATCTTTATGGTGATTAGGTGGATAAGTTTAATGGTGTCCTACCTGCAATCGTCTTACAGGCAACAGTATGAGGTTTATTGGCATTCGATTGGCTATTTTCTGTCCCTTCATCATTGTTCTTTTGTTTCATAGCAGGTTGTTCTGTTCTTTTTCTTTCTTTCTTGGCTGTTTCTCGATTGGCATGTTATGTCTCATACTGTACAGTCACCTTTTATCATGCTGCATTGGTTGAGCCACTCCAGCTTGCTTTTGGAGTCTATACATACCTCTTTGGTTCAATTTCGCAAGCTTTTTCATGCATTCTATCCTTTCCGGCCAACTCATGCGCCTCTTGAGCCTGCCTCGTCCCTTGACTGGGTTCTTTCTTTTCTTTCCTCTGCTCGGTATGCAGTGGCACCTTCAGTCTGGGATTGTATTTTGAAGACTTTATTTTTTATTTCTGTCTACTGGGTGTCAGGTGGGAGAGTTTGATGCTCTTCTTCAAAGTGGGGGTAGTTTTGTTCCTCTAGTCTTGATGGGCACTTTGTTTCTTTGCAGCCAGCTGCTGCTTGTCTGGCGAAGGAGGAAAAGAAGACTCCTTCGCCAGAAGCTCATTCTGGCGAAGGAGCTTCTGGGGGGGAGGGGGGTGGAGTCTTTTGGTTGTGGACTCATGGTTGGTTTGGCCGGGGATGCATCATGTTCTTTGTCCAGTGGCAGCTTTATGCTGCTACATTTGTGCCGTCGGTTCTGCTTCAGTGGACTCTGTGGGTTAATCTGGTTTCCCTGGTTTCCTGTTCCAGGGCTTGTCCTTCTCAGGTTGTCTATAATGTCATTAAATCTAGCCAGTCTGCAGTCTACCCTCATGCCCATGATGTATGCAAGTATGCCACTCTAACCGGTGTTTTTGCCAATATGTTTGGGCCGATATTCAGGTTTAGGGGTTTTGCCGATCGAACAGGGTCGGTCGGGTATCTGGTGCACATTCCCAGTTCTCGGCGACCTTGGGTTGTGTGTCGTGGCCGGTGGTCTCGTCCTCATTATATCTGGTGCTGCCTTCTCCCTGGTAAGTGCCGTTTTTCTGGGGGGAGCCCCTACGTCTCCCTGGAGTTGTCCATGCTGATATGGATATTCCTAACTTTGGCAGCAATCGATGTGGGTGGAGTTCCAGGCCTACAGGGGACCACGAGCCAGAACCTGGCCCCTCAGAGAGGCACAAGGAGCAATGGCCTAAAGAAATGCACTTGTGATTTTGGAGCATTCTATAATCTGCCATCGACTGGGATGGATGTCAGATGGACACTCGTTTCATGATTCGGTCATTGCTTCTGGACACTCCTTCCTTGGCCGTCGTTCAGTGCCTGGCTGCACTCTAATGTGCAGCCTAAAAAGTACCTAATTTCATCTTCATAGTTTTTCACTTTTTGCCTTAAAATTGCACTGTATCAATTGCTACCCAATCTCCCAACCTTTATGTTCCCAATTTGAACATCTTTACCATTGTGATCATTGCTGTTTTCTTATATGTGCTGCCAATCTGTTGTATGGTGTTTATAAATCTTGTTTATCTGTATCTTTTGCTACCCAGTCTCCCAATCTTTATGTACCCAATCTGAACACCTTTACCATTGTGATCATTGCTGTCTTATATGTGCTGTCAATCTGCTGTATGGTGTCTATTAATCTTGTTTAAATTGCTAATCAAGCTGTCAATGTAATCAATCAGAGCTTTAATATAACAATGTGCTTTAATATACTTACTTATCTCTCTCATCTCATTTTTCTCTTCTAATATATCTTTATCATTTATCAATTCTGATTGAAATTACCTACTTAAAATTATCTGCTAGATTAAGGACCTGCCCGAAACGCTGCGCGTACTAGTGGCTTTACAAGAATGTAAATACTGTACTATCCAATGTATTCTCACAAACCCAATGTACCTTCTTGTATATATATAAATAAATAAATAATAAATAAATAAATAAATGTAAACATTGGAGTGTGTGTGTCTCTTTACTTGATCGTGTACATTCTGTTTTCGTTGCATTTCCTACCTCTATACTATGCATTGTTGTGTGTCTCAGTATGTGTTTATTGGCTATACTAGTGTTGGTGCTAGGTTGGACTGTGTACATGTTCAGTTCCCTGCGATTGGACAGCCCCGCTGCTCAGTTGTAGAACTGCGTTCTTTCATCTTCTTGTATGTCCCTACCAGCTTCTGTGTTACATTGTCTGCTAGTGGCTGTAGGTTCCAATCACCCACTCCTGCCCCTACTGTTCCTTTTTTGTTGGGACAGGGGGAGCTAGGATTACGGCCATGGCTATGGCTTTTTCCTTGTGTTCCTTTGCCGGACAGTACATTTTTGCTTTAGTGAGGTACATGTCCTGGGTAGTTCTCTTCATCTGTTGCTCTGCTTCTCGTGCGTCGTTCTGCCCTGCTGGAGCTAGTTGTACTGCTCCTGCAAGTTGTGGTGTCGCTGTTTTTGGCTTCGGGTCTCGCATGTCGGCTCGTGGTGCTCGCTTCCTCATTAGCCTCTACCTGAGCCCCTGGGTCTTTGGTTTTCATCGCCATTTTGTCCTTGCTGTTTGCAGAGTCTATGGTTTATCTCTTTCAGCAAGTGGCTTCTTCTCGTTGTTATCTGTTATTGTTCTTTTTGGTCTTTTTAGGGTCGCGAGAGGGTCCCTCCCGGACGGGGCTATCTGCTCCCCAGGGTTGGTTCTTTCCCAGTTAGCCGGGTTTGGGTTCCTGGTTCCTTGGCGATCATTCCTTCTGGTTCCTTGGCGATCATTCCTTCTGGTTCCTTGCCAGCCTTGGTTTCGGTCGCTGCTTGCCCGGTGTCCAAACCCATGGGTCTTTTCCCGGCTCTACCTCTTCTCACGATCGGTCCGGTCCGTATCAGGGCTGGTTTGGTCTTCTCCTCGAGTCTTCCAGTCTGGTAATTTTGACTCGAGTCTCTCGCCATCTTTGGGGATCAGGTGGCTTCATTGATGGTGTCCCACCTGCGTGGTTCGTCTCAGCGGTGGTATGGGGTTTTGCTGGCGGTCCTTAATTTTCCTTTTGTCTCTTCGTAGGTATCCTGCAGTTTTTGTTGACGTGATTTTGTCCTTCTCTCGTGGGGGTTTGGGACTGTCCGCTTGACTCATACTGTCGTCTTGTCTCGTAATTACCTAAGTGTAATTACCTAAGTGTAGTTACAGGATGAGAGCTACGCTTGTGGTGTCCTGTCTTCCCAGCACTCTTTGTCATATAACGCTTTGAAACTACCGACGGTCTTGGCCTCCACCACCTTCTCACTTAACTTGTTCCAACCGTCTACCACTCTATTTGCGAAGGTGAATTTTCTTATATTTCTTCGGCATCTGTGTTTAGCTAGTTTAAATCTATGACCTCTTGTTCTTGAAGTTCCAGGTCTCAGGAAATCTTCCCTGTCGATTTTATCAATTCCTGTTACTATTTTGTACGTAGTGATCATATCACCTCTTTTTCTTCTGTCTTCTAGTTTTGGCATATTTAATGCTTCTAACCTCTCCTCGTAGCTCTTGCCTTTCAGTTCTGGGAGCCACTTAGTAGCATGTCTTTGCACCTTTTCCAGTTTGTTGATGTGCTTCTTAAGATATGGGCACCACACAACGGCTGCATATTCTAGCTTTGGCCTAACAAAAGTCATGAACAATTTCTTTAGTATATCGCCATCCATGTATTTAAAAGCAATTCTGAAGTTAGAAAGCATAGCATAGGCTCCTTGCAC